AGTCAGACTGTGTCAGGTTCTAGTTCTGCTGCAGTGATGTGCCTGTTGGTGCACTGGGAGGTGTGAAGCAGCAGCTGTGAGAAGGTTCTTTTTACTCTCTTTCTTGGAAAGTTACTATTCTTATAAATTAGATATGATGAGAACCACTTAATTTTTGTATGTTCTAGAAGTTACATTTATTTTCTAAAACGCGAAACTGCTTTTTAAATTGAAAGGTAGCTTTCTTTAACTAGTCATTTCTGAAAGTCAGTAGAACCTGTGTAGGTGTTCAAGGAAATTCCTAATCTTCCTTTTAAGAATTACTATCATTGCTGTCAATATTTTGATAACGTAGTCTGAATATAAAAGGAAGCAGATAGACCCAAATGACTCTGTGTGTGGATACCACACTATTTATACCAAAGCAGAACTTGTTGCATTTTACATGATTTTCTTGATATATTTCTAGTGCATCCCTGTGTGATTTATATTGAGCTGTTGAATGTGAGCTGTAAACAAGAAGCCTTTGTGACGTTATTTCCTGCTTGTCTTTTGTAGGTCTTTTTCTGCTCCCAAGTTATATATTATTTAGGTTTAAAAAATTACACAAAGTTTTACTTTTGTTTTATCTATCTATCTGTCTTGTTTGTCTGTCTGTCTATCTATCTATCTATCTATCTATCTATCTATCTATCTATCTATCTATCTATCTATCTGTCTATCTATCTGTCTATCTACCTCTTTCCTTCAGGACCCATTTCTTCTTTCTCTTCAGAAGGGATTACAGAATGGTCTTGTTTTATTTTTTCTTTGGAAGAATACAGTATAGTAATTCTTTTGTGCTTAACACTTAGGACTCTCTATTGCCACCGCAAAAGGGTGTAACTAGTTTATCCAGATTGGCACCTTTTTTGTGCAAATCAGCAAGATCTGAAATCTTTGCGTTCCTCCCCCCCCCCCCCGAGTGTGCGTCACTGGCTGGTGAAGGGCTCTGCAGTTGGAACAGAAAGCAAATGAAGCTGTTGGGAAAGCAAAGGCTTTTTGGGGACAGGACAGGCACCTTTTGATGCAGGAGATTTGCAGTAAATATTGCAAGGCCAGCAGTTAAAACTCAGTGTGTGAAAATCTGTTGAAGCACAAGAGTGACAACGTAGCGGGAGTGTCTGTCAGCAGTCGGACACGGCGGAAACTTAAAGACGCTCCTCTGCTTTCAGTTAGAGAAGGAGTGAGTGATACCAGCATTGTGAGCCTCTGACAGTACTGGGGAGCACTAGCTCTGCCCATGCGAATTCAAGAGACCAGTCCTGCATTTTCATGCAGATCTGTGCCATTGTAGCCCAGTCCAGATGTTTGTTCTTATGGCTGGGTTTTTTTTTTCCCCCAAAAGAAATATCAAACTATACCAGTGGCTTTTCTTACTTAGCTGATTCTAATGAAGACAAAGGCTGTGGGGGATTTTACTGCAGTTGTGTCTAATTCTGTGACAGTAAGGCTCAAATCTCCAAAGTAAAAGTCTATTTGAAGAACGTGATATTTTATTTCTTTGGAGATATAAAAGCACATGAACACAAACTTCCTAATACTGGGCCAAGCAGCTTATACACTCATTTTCACTTTTGAATATGCAGTGTCTGCCTGATTTGGGCATCGGGACCTCAGGGTTGTATTTTAAAATGTATTGCTGGTAGCACATGGAAGGTTTATGATTCATTTTTGGGTTCAATTTTAAGTCCCTTTTCGTAGCTGAGAACAGCAGCTCTCATGTGCTCACTGAAACCTGGGTGGTTTCAAACTAACTGTGGGTCATGGGAAAGTTTCCATTGCAGCACCTTAGTCATGCAGGGTTCTAAAAATTTGTTCCTAATGCTGTTTGAGCGGCCACAACGTATCGTTGATTCTGAAAGTGGTAACTTTTATCGGCTTCGCTCATTACTCATCTGTCCTGAGACTCTGTGAGCCTTTACACCCAAAACCTGTTCTGGAGGCCATGCTGGACTTGCGG